CAGGCTGAAAGTTTGAGCTGTGGACATTGCAAGTGCTGTGAACTCTGTCTCTTAGTATGCAGCTTATTTCGTATTCCAGCCATCAAATTGTTGGTGGTTATGCTCTCTTGGCTGTAGAGAGGAGGAAATCTGAATGTGTTTTACAGGGGGGATGAAGAGGCTGTATTGCATAATCTTTTCTTCTCAATTCTGCCTTTTGGGATTGTGTAAGTGGCCTAAAAATGTCATTCCTTAATTAGTTGGTTTAGATACGTTTAGGCTGACAACTTTTGCCCAAAGAGTTGTATGAATACTGAGTGAAAGTGTACAGAGTCCATTGCTCTTAGCTTTGAAGAGTCCTATTTTCCTCTGTATTTTGGATGTTATTTTCATCTTTGACTCTTCAAATTTGAGGATATCAAGTATTTTTTGAGAGAGCACTCCTCTGTATATCATGGATTAATATACAGAGGAGTGATTCCTAAAATTAAAAGATAATTCTAAGATAATTTTAGCATTTTCTTAATAATTAGCAAATTTTTAATACATGATACTGCTTACTATTTCTTGATTATGTGTTTTCAACTCATGGCAAAAGGGTAATATCTTGTTTGCTGGTTAACACTCTCTCACCTTATAGGCATAGGAAACCTTTTTTTTAAACTGTTCTAATTGAACCTTACTTTTGTAACAGCAATAGTAGCATAAGTAAGCTTATTAAATAATGGATGAGATTAAAATGATCACAATAACAAATATTTTTTAGATTCATTGGTTGTGCTTGTTATGACAATGTGAGTGCCCCTCCTACTATTTCTGGTCATAACAGTATATAACAGTAACCCTGAAAGAATTTCATCTTGCCTGGGTGGATGTGTCATATCAGTTTACAGTAAAGAGCAGAGCCATGCTATTGGTTAAAACACTTTTAAATTATTATTTATGGAGTTGTATTTGTGTTTGGTACAGAATGTGAAGACTAGCTTCATGTGTCTCCTCCAGCAGAGCAATGAGAACACCTTCCTGAACGAGTATTTCTTTGTTTCCTATACTGTGTGTGCTGTTGAAAGAGAGAAGGCTGGGAAAGGATACAGGTTAGAATTAATTGCTACGTTTTAGTTGTTGTGTCATTCCTTAGTCTTTTTACATGATATTTTGGGCTTATTTTGCCTTCTTTTCCCTCCCATCCTGATTGATTCTATAATTAACTCTGTAATGCTATCATTAACCACATGTTTTACTGTGATATTTTGCGTATGTTGACAGATCAGTATTTGGTTTAGTAGTGTGGTATGATGGACTCCCAAAAGTCTCTCTTGAGTCTCTCATGGAGTTACAAGCCTTGATCCTACCAAGGCCGAGCACCTGCAGATATAGTTTTCACTGTGACTTGTTAGTGTTAAGCTATTTCACTGATTTTTACTTATTTATATACTTTTTTGAGGCGAGGAAGGAATTTGTGTAAAGGGGAAGGAAGTCCTCAGGAATTCCCTTTTTGCTAGAGGCTGGAAAACTAGAGGCATAAGGTGAAATATAAAATACAGTTTTATATGTGATATTTTCTCTTAAATAGTGAAATTCCGTAGGCTGTAATCTACATTATTACGAGTTGTGTGTTAATCCTAACGAAGTTTTGTTGGCTAGTGAGCATTTTATTTCTTAATTTAAAATAATTTAGGGTTGGACAGAGACAACTACTGTATACTGATAGCTTAATTTGTTGTTGGTCCTTAGTACTATGCCTTCCTAAAGAACGTGTTCTTTTTCTTTAGAAGCATAAAGGTCGCCTTTATCTGTGTTATTGCTTAGGGCTTTTGAGAAACTGGGTGAAGTAGGGTGGCTTGTTGTCCCCCCTTATAAGTCAACAACGTTGATGTGCTCTGTTTTCAACATTGAAACCTCTTCTTTTTTCCCTTTCTGGAGAAGGAGAGATAAAAGAAATTTGCATCAACAGGTTGTAAGTTCACTTAAGCATCTTTAGTGAGCTGCTTTAGAATGTGTAAATAAGTCTTGTCATTACTTCAAGTAAAGGTTTTGGACTCATTTATGACTTTTTTTGTCTTTTGTAATTACAAAATCTTCTTTAATAAGAAAGTAACTACTGAAGGTTAGTTTCTCTAGGAAAACAGAAACAGTAGTACCTAACCTCCTTTCCTCCCTATCCCCCAAATACCTTCAAAGTTTCTGGAAAAGGATAGCTCTCCCTTTGAATTTTAGTAATACACAGCACAATATCACAAAAACAATAATTTGTTTTCTTTAATGACAAATTTATGGATATCTTAAAATAATGCTATGTTGAAATGTGAGTATTATGCTTACTTTGTTTAGTTTCATTTATTTCTGTTGCTTTGCTATGCAGTTGCTGTTGTTGAAGCAAATATTGTTATGTTTTAAGGAACACTTCTAAAACATGCTTTTTATGAAATCTGTTATAATTGATAAACATTTTGGGGCACAGTGTTGTCATTGATAACTTCTGCAATACAGTCATAAGAATGTAAATGTTTTTGCTGTAAAAAGTAATGACCCTAACCTGTGTTTGTTTTTCAGAGTATACGCAGACTGGACTGTGTTACTATATTACTTACTATAGTAAGTTCAGCTATCCCAAATGTTTGGGTCTTTTATTGTATATCCAAAAACCTTGTGTGCAGCATGTATCTGGCATGCTCTAAGAAGTGTCAGCCTTGATGAAGGTGCTCTGTAGACTTGACTTGATACATGTGTATTGCAAATGGTCGCTGCTGGACATCTGGCAGACCAGTTGAAGCTACTACTTTATCTAGGTTGCCAGACAAGTGGGACTTCCGGACATCGATCAAGGTTGTCAAGGTCTGCCCAAATGTATGATGGTCATGTTGTTACCAATACCTTAAACTTTATTATGGCACCAGTTTACTGGCTTTATAAGCTGTCAAAAAGCTGTGGTTCAGATTTGCTAGATTTGTTGCAGGAGTACATTCTTCTTTTAAGTAATTTTCCTGTGTGCAGTCAGATGCACGAGAGCTATGCGTTGAGAATTTATCTGACTGTTTCTCAAGCATGCTGTGGACAACTTGTGTAATGTAGTCTGTAGAACATTAAAAGTATCATACAATAGTTAATAACGGTGCCAGTCTTACTAAAATATTTATCCTCTTTGGTCCTTTCAGTTCTAGTTTGATATTGAATAGGATCAAAATCACATAAATGTTCAATATCATAAGCATAAAAAGGCAAAAAATGTAAGTATGGTGACTTGGCACTACCTATAAATACCAGTTTGCTTCTAGAGTCTGGTAGGCCGTTGTACCACGTAAAAACATTTGTGCCCAACAAACACTGTCTATAAGCTTCATGGGACTTTTTTTTTTTTATTGTTGGTTTCTCATTTCAAGTTATTTCTCAGTTGCTTAAACTTCTGTAAAGGCATTCTGATTATTAGTAGAAATATGGCAAGACTAGTGCATTTTTGACATTCTGATGATAAAATTGCAACAGCAGACAGTTTTCTGTATCTGTTCATGCCAGTTTTCAGAGCTAGAAGGGATCTTGAAGCTATAAACAACTATTTTCGGTGACTTAAATGAGACTTTCTGTTGCTGCTGCTAAGAGTATTTAGGGGTCTGAAGATACAAAATTTTTTGTGTTTTGCTAACTTAAAAAAAAAAATCAGACTTAATGTACTTCTGTGCAGCTGAGGTGCTGATGGAGAGAAAGGAATGTGTGTTGGAGGGTATGGTTTTAATTTAGTTAGCCGAAATACATTAGTAGTCCTGACCACTGTATTTTTGTGTAGCACTTCTCATGCACTTAGTCAGTCAGTCTGCTTTTTTTGCCTATGAAATGTTCGAATTTCTTTTTTAGGGATGGAAACACCTAGGTATGTTCCATGTTTCTTATCAGCCACGAGGACAATGGGCTTAGATAAATCTGATCGCTTACTTCCATCCGGAATCCATAAAACTGAAAATGAGGGGAGTGGAAATTGCCTCCTCTTCTTGATCTTCCATCCCCTATCTTCTGACTCAGAGGAAATGAATAAAACAGCTGCCAACTATCTCCCTCTCGCAAGAGGAAAGAAGATACCTATGTATCTATCTAGTCCTTCTAGTCCTTGTGTCAAGCTGTGGCTGTCAGCTATTCCAGTGTTTCCTTGAGTGTTTTGCTGAATTAGCAGTTCTTGTGATAACTGCAGTGTTTGTCTTTGCTGCAGCTGCTCGTAATTTCAGTACAGTCAGCTTTATTTTCCATGGCTTAATTTATTTTGTTGTGGTTGGACTGAAAGTATTGACAATTGTATGTTGTTTGAGAAAACTAGAAGCCAGTGCAAAGATGCTGAAGTGTCCTGATTGCCGACCTGGGAACACACTGATTCACTTTTGGTTTCTTTTCAGAGATAATGCTCGCAATCTAGAAACACAACTAGAAACACAATTTCTTTACTGTTAAATTTTGAATTCAGGATACATGAAATCCCATGCGTTTGTGACTGTGACTTTTAATAATAACTGGTTTCTGGGAATATGGATTTTTTTCAACTTTTTAAAATATCTTTTTCTCTGCAATTGCTGTATCTCTCTTTCAGTATTTTACTCTAGTTACCAAGCTAGTAATAGTCTTCTCTGAGATCCAGTGTTATTGATAATCTGTCAGTTCACTGAAGACTCCCATGATATTCTCCCTCCCACAGTCACAAATAAAGAACATTTCTGCCTTAATAAGCCTTTGTTTTGCTAATGAAGGAACTGAGTAACGTGGGCCACTTGGAAAACATCCTCAATTCAGTGACATTTGTGGAAAGGGACCTGGAAAAAAATACATTTTATAATTTGGAATTGATCTGTAGGGGGCACTTCTTCCTTAGCTTAGAAAAAAAATCTTCTCTTTAAAAAATATTAGTCACATGTATGCTGTTTAGCTCTAATTTGTGGTGCTTAGTGCTATTCTGGATGCCTGGTCTTAAACAGAGCATTAGAAATATATATTGCATTTCATTTGTATTTTATTTTTTTAAATGTCTCTCTTTCTGTTTGTAGGTTTGTTTGTAAATGCATCATAAACAGACAGCCCAGAATGAAGAAAGCAAGCAGGAGTGTTGGCTCAGTGCCCAAAGTGCCTGGAGTAAATAAAACTCAAATAGCTGAGAAAAACAAGCCAGAAAACAGCTCCTCTGTGTCTGCAGTAACAAAACTCTCAAAAACTGGGACATCAGCATCCCTTTTGAAGGTAACTAATAGAATGTTCTGATTATTTATATTTTTGGCAATAAAGCATTAAAATAACTAGATTTTTAAGACGTCTTTAAAGCAGCTTAACTTAGAGACTTGTTATACAGGTAACTGAAGGGAATTTGGATAATTACATAGCTCTGGTCAGGGTGATAGGATCTTCTGTGGCATTCATGCGGTGCTTTTCATATTGCAACGTGCAGTGTGATGGAAAGCAATGTACTTGGTAGAACTTGGCTGTTCTGCAAAAGGAGC